CCCCTGAAAACAAGGAGCAAGGAGGCTATCCAAAAGAAAGCCTACGGTTGCATTTTCACATGCGCAACCACAAGACTGGTTCACATAGAGTTAGTCACAGACTTGACTACAACATCCTTCCTCAACGCAATGAGACGATTCATGTCAAGGAGAGGAATTCCGAACATCATTACCTCCGACAATGCCGCAGCATTCATACTAGCAGATCAGATCCTATCTGACAGTCTCGAAATCGATACAGTCATGACAAACAAGGGTATAACTTGGAGGAAGATAACCCCCTACGCCCCTTGGCAAGGAAGCTTTTATGAAAGGCTGATCAAAGACATAAAGCGAGCATTATTCAAAGCACTCGGAAGAAACATCGTCGACGAAGACTCCTTGCATACAATACTGACAGAGATTGAAGCCTGTCTGAATAATCGCCCGCTTACATATCAGGAAACTGATATAGAAGACATTACACCTCTGCGACCCATCGATTTCCTCCAGAAAGACATGTGCATCTCATACCGTACCCATACAAGCGATCGCACCGACCCCGACTTCCACACCCCCACAGAAGAGGCTCAGCTGCGTACACGCTTAGAAGCAGAGCAGGCATTGAAAGCCTCCACGGAGATAGTGGACAAATTTTGGCAGGAGTGGCAATCCGCATACCTCACTTCCCTCAGAGAACAACATATCCATCATCTTACTCAGGGTAGGAGTACAACAACAACACCCAAAGTAGGACAAGTTGTTCTCATACAAGACAACGCACAGCCCCGCAACAAATGGAAACTAGCAAGAATTATATCATTGCAGCGGTCGGGGGACAGTGAAATTCGCCAAGTTCATATAAGAATGGGCAATGGCAAAGTCACCAAACGACCCATCTCTATTCTTGTCCCCCTGGAGATCGACTCTGATATCCACCAGATCCGAGTACAAGACATAGAACACATCGATCCACCTGACGGCTCCGATATATCTCAGAATCGAGAACAGGACACAGAACACACAGATCCACCTGACAATATACCAATAACACAAAATCAACAACCAGATAGGCGGTACAACCTTAGATCTAGGATACAGAACAAAAACTACCCTTACAATCAAGATAATGAAGTATATCTCATACAAACTAAATCTTCTTCATTACAGAATGAGCGTCGAACAGACCAGAATTTTGAACAAAACTTACACGTTGTGCCAGAAGATATACGCCAGATTAGGGGAGTTGGAAAAGAAGGTGGAAAAGCACGCGGAGCTCCTACTAGAAGCCCAGATCAACACGGTCGTACAACTACAGAAACAGAAGGAGCCGAAAGAAGAGGAAGCAAAGGAGGACGCGCTGGACATCCCGGACGAGCAGGACACTCTCATTCTTCTGGACAACTACGACGTCCATCAAGCCCCGCCGGAGTGTGCTGGATCGCAGCACCCATTGCAGCACCCAGTCAAAGGAGATCAACGCGCGATGCGCCGCTATAAAAGAGGGCCAGCAGAATCGATGGATCACTTTTACCGTCACGCAGGGCACTGAGCCCTTTTCTTAGTTTTAGTTCTTGTTCTCATCCTAGGGTTCTAGTGTTAGGGCTTTTCCATATTTGTTCTCTATCATTCCAATTTGTTTGTGTCTTTCTCTTTATTGCTCAGAAATATCCAGGATCTTTGTCATTCATTATTCCATGATTCACCTTTTGTATCTCACATTTCGTTGTTGTGTTTCGTCGTTTACTTGGTAAATAAAGTTTAATTACCCAAGTTTAAGGTGTGCACGAAACGGTCTGAGCCACGCTATCCCCCCTTTGTGTTGGACAACAAGCTGGACCACCAAAACCAGAAGCAGAAGCCCAAAGTCAGGTATTTAGGCCAATTTCATTCCAACACACCACGACCGGATGTTGCTATCGTGAGGTGCTTACAAATAACTGATCAAATTGAATAAGTCAGGAGCTGCTGCTTTGCACCCTGATACATCAATATGCGTAGCCGTTCGTATCAAGATCAACGTTGTAAGCATGCATTGCTATGCTTTGCATTGTGTGGATTTTTGCTTTGATGACTTATCATGACCAACCACATCAGGCTCATAAGTTCCTATTCCTTGGATGTGTCAGGTATAAGGATGTACGGGCCCTATCCTGATGAGTGGGAGTACATAACATTAGTTCATATATATATTTATCAAATAATATTTACATAAGAGGGGAAAGTGGGAAAGGGAGAGGTTGCTGTAGCAACCTGCTAGCCGGCGGTCATCGGGGGTCACTGTCTCTGCTCGGGCTTTACAGCCTGCCCGGGAAGGGGACAGCTGCTGGTGGGAAACACCCGACAGATGCGAATGGTTGGATAGCGCGACACACTCATGAAGAACAGTCATCCATTCAGAATCCCTCAATTCACACTTTATCCTCAGATCAGTGGAACTTTTGGAAATGTTGCAATGCAAGTTCCAAACATTAATCAAGTACAAAAGCTTCGTAAAGTTTATCAAAATCAGAAGAATCCTCTCCAGTTTCTGACAGAAGCCAACCTTTGCACCGAATTGAACAATAATAAAAGTTCCGAGTTTGGCAAACTTAACGAGAGGCCAGACTGAGACTTCGAGACACTTGTTTGCACATTTCACAGAATAGATTTCAATGGTACAACTTCAAACATACAAACCTTGATGAATACAAAAGGCGATCAATCGTTCCTTCACTCTATAAGAAGAAGTAAACTTTAAATGTCTTCCTATGCTATAGTAAGCTTCCAATACATTGAGGAAGTATTCATACGGAGTTTTACCCCACATCCTTTACCCCAGTTTTACATCTATGACATTGATTTGTGGAAGGCAACCTCCAAAAAACTTTTGACAGCATTCACATTACGTTGGTCAAAAACGTCAAGTCCACACTGTTTAGCGTGCCCCACAGCAAAAACCCTGCGCGCCGGAGAAATTCGCATTGGGGCTTGAGGCGCGCTTTGCGCAGCCATGGTACAGTCGAGTAGATTTAGCGGTAAATATAGTGTGCTTGCACAGAAGGTGAAATGCGGTAAAATTGGCAAGAAAAGCTAAGAAAAGCGTGAAGAAATAGCTTCGATTGTGACGCCGGCCAATTGCGCGCGCAAAATACCCGCAGTACTGGCGTGGCTACTTGTTCACGCGCAAATTTCACCGCATTTCGCCTTCTGTGCAAGCACACTATATTTACCGCTAAATCTACTCGACTGTAGATTTGAGTACGTGTTCGCGACAAGACAACTGTAACAATACCATTGCATGTCGATCTTCTTGCATTTCGGTTGTGACAGTTTTCCAACACGACTGATCGTGAAACATCACAGAATACAAGAAGACTGGCATGCAATGAACTCGCAACACTTGTCTAGTCACGATGAATCGCGACGATGAAATCGTGTGAGCTCTCTCAGACAATCACAGGCTCTCAGCGGGCCCCACCAAAAGCGTCGTTGCCTTATCGCAGCCACTGTCGCTTCCCGCTGAGAGCTTTGTCGGAGCTTTGTCGGAGCTTGTCGGAGCGGGCTCGCTGCCCGCTGAACCCGCTCCGACAAGCTCCGACAAAACTCCGACAAAGCTCTCAGCGGGAAGCGACAGTGAGGCAATGAGGCCACCGCGCTTTTGGTGGGTCTAGGCGGTGGCTTTGTGGCTGCCGGCTGGGAGCATTTGATTGTCTGAGCTGCTCGAGACCTCAGACCGCATTCGCAGGCTGCTGATCCTCATTCGACATACACTGGCATTGCAAAAGGACCAGGCTCCATTGAAGGCTAAAATGACGGAGTTCTGTCGTGCTATTTATCCGTAAGCATAGCTTATACGACACACTTGTAACGTGAATTTTTACCCAGCACGCGCGCTACTTCACAACTCGTAAAGCTTTCTTCTTGTTTCTTTCCAAGTGTTAATTCATTGTTTTGGATAGTAGAGCCTAATTCCACAGTTTATATCCTTAACACGTTGATGACCGTGTGCATATGCCCGTATGCACGTGCACGCCTTGACTCCCATTTAGCATTTCTGTGCATGCGCGCATACGCCGCTAGGTTTTTAGGTGTAAACGAAAAGTTTCAAATTAACTTCTAAATAGTAATACTACTGGTGGCCTGATTATTGTCTTACACAACACATGGCATAGCGACAGCTGTTTAGAAGTTCTGGCCGCAAAATTGGGTAGTTAGTCCGTTTTTGAGTGGTAAATACATGATAAATACTTTTCGAGAAGGTGAGAACTCTGTATGGCTGTTTTGAAAGCAAACAAGGATGAATCAGGCAAAAAATTCTGGTTTTACAATGCTTTTCTCGAAGAGCGATTCTTCACTTATAGGCATTGCATGGTTTATTGGAAGATTCAAAAACCTTGATTTGTGTAAATTCTGGTAAGTCTGTGATATACATGTATTTCTGAACAAAGTTCGCATGTTTTATGAGTAAGCATCAGGACTCCCACATAATGTTTTCGTGCTTATATGCGCGGGCTAAATGCGCGAAAAACGTTGATGAGAGTTCCTAAAATGATTTGCTCGTCAAGGTGTTGAACTCACTCTTCAATTTATTCAAAAACTTGGCAAAGTCATTCAGAAATGAAGCAACCGTATGAATTTCTGGAAACAATCAAGGCGAAATGGTTTTTCGCAGCGGCTGCACTTCGTATTTACAGTCTGCTCCAATTGGGATCAGGCCGAACCGTCCGCTAAATTTGCGCGCTCGCAGCACTAGCAGTGTCTGGTAGCAGCTGATACATCTTCGCTATGATCTCCTGTTTTTTTTTTTGGATCAGGCAATGTTTCGATCTGACTGTGTAGAGGATTCGAAATAAGGCCTCAGAATGCTAGCCACGATTTGCCGTTGGAAATTGATAATTTTGATAGAATTTTCTATATGCACTTTGTAGAGATTCCAGGCGTTAACAACGACCATTCACCTTCCGAGATCCCATAAATTACAATAGACCTATCATGCTTTTCGGTCTCCACAAGTTTATTGGGAAGAGAAGGTAACTTACTGATGAAATTTCGAGAAGCGGGATGGCTTCTGGTGCTTTCGTACGGATAATAGACTGAATACGTTCCACGAGCTGAACTGCTTCTTCATCCATCAGTGGAAAGGCCTTGGTTACCAGGGGAGAGGAGGGCTTTCGTTTTTCGAAGGGTGTGACAGTTGTGGTGACAGGGAGTGGCCATGGATGCGGATCAATGAAAAACGCACCGCTCAGCGTGCGGCAGGAGGGGAATGCAATACATTCTAGAATAGGCCCTCGTTATAACTCTCGCGATTTCAGTCGTCGCGAGATTTGGTAATTTGCAAAATCTCTTCAAACCCAACACTCGCTGATTACAAATGCCTTGATGTATTAAATATCTATGAGTCGATAAAGTGTTCGAGTTCCTTCATACTACGCCACAGGAAGCGGCGTGCGCGGCGTACGCCTCAGGACGCAGCATGCGCGTGCATCCGCGGGAATCGCTCTGAAAATATACGTTCACTGCAACGCCTTTTCGCTGGTTATGTATGTATAGGCCGTCCGCGCAGGGCGGAGAGTGCGCAAGGTGTGTATTTTGCGTCACTTCTCTTTCCTTGTGCACCGTCGCCCGTTTTCTCTGCGCTTCTTCCATTCCGTAGACTGTTTTCAATGTACGCAACAGCGTTGCTCTCCGTGCGCAGCGCGGACGGTCTATATCTCTATATCTCCTGCACGTCCACGTTCATCATGACTTATAATAACGGGCTAAGGATGTTTACGTGACTTTGTGTGTGTGTGTGTGTCTGTTACGAAATTCGTGGAGCATATTCCAGCAAACGTCCTGGGCCCAAATTTTGCACAGCACATGCTACTAGCACAAAACTCCACCATGCAAAAGCATGAGCGGATTCGTTGAGTGGAACTCACAGAAAATGCGCGTCAAACAGGTCCACTTCGCTTCTGACCCACAAAATTGGGTCCCTATCAGCACTTTTTGCGAAGTCGTTGAGGTATTTGACAAGTAAATGTGCAAGCCTTGCACTCTAGCCCAAATAATGAGCAAAAATCTACTACTTTGCGAAAATGACGCCAAAATGGATTGGTTGCGTAAATGGTCAATTTGCCAAGGTTCTAGCTAAGCGTTTGAGAAGAATTTCGCACAGAGATGTAGCTCACGGTTATCATTACCTTTATGGCGACTAAAATCATGACAAATCCAAAAACCTATTCAAGTTTGCGTTTGTCTTCCTGCGGAAAGTTTCATCCACGCGAAATCACCGATCTCACGTGAAAAGACTTTCTAAATGAGTGGTCGTTTACATTTTATTCGTGGTAGTCGGCATAGCGCGGTGAGTTCCATTGCCACGATTTTACGAGAATGAGTAAGGCACATAGATAGTAGAGCCAGTGCGAACCACTGCGAAGCAGAGGTGACGCACTGGTACATACATAACCAGTCAAAAGGCGTTGCAGTGAACGTATAATTTCAGAGCGATTCCTGCGGCGCAGCCCGCACGCTGCGTCCTGCGGCGTAGTATGAAGGAACCCTTCTACTCTGCTTGCTCAGATTGAGTTTGCGACGAGTTATACGCAACTGGAGTACTGCCAAATCGCGTCGCGAAGGGAATTCGTGAGGCATGCCCCTAGCCTTACAATTCGATGTTCTGTCACTGACTGATATCGGTACTTCGCATGTGCTAGTCAGCGCGTACTGAAACTGGATGCCGAGAGGATGATCATGCGCTTTTTGAGACGCAGATGGTATTTGGTGGACTTCTGTCCCTGTGTTCATTGGAACCCATGGACCTGCAAAAGCTCAAGTTTCGGAGAATGAACCCAACCAACTACTCTCAGATAATCGCCGGAGCAGGGGGTCCGCAAACCTGTTTTTCTGCAGGCGGTCAGCAGAATTTTGGGGCGTGTCCAAACCTTCAGCGGGCGGCACTTCTTTTACGGTCGCATATTCTGCACTAGGCAGCAATACAGCATCTTCTGCAATCGCTCGGCAAATCATTTTGCGTGCGGAAGGCCCGCGAGAATGCGACCACTGCCCCGTAACTAATCTGGGAAAAAGGGGCAATTGTTCTCGGAGCATTCTTTAGAATCTCGCCAAAATTCTACCATATATCCGCAAGCGGACCACAAAAAATCAGCGAACTATTTCTTCGGTGCCCGCTTGCTCAAAATTCGCATGGCCGCTTGCCCTCGGCGATTATCTGAGTTGCTGCTGCTTTTTGTGAACGGAATTGATTAGAGAGATTACTTCGATGTGAAGGTGTTCTGCATAAGCACCGACATTTCACTTGAAAGCACATTCTCAATTTGCTACATGGCTCATAATAATGAGAATTGTAATGTAGCTTAAGCTCTTGGAAAATCTTTAATATGTTTAACATATTGGAAAAGCAAAAATTATTTGACTCCTAGTAAAGCAGGTTCGTCTTGCGTCTTTTCCACTTCGAGTTCTTCGTCACGTATGCTTGTTACTCCTTCTAACGTGTTACCAAAGTCACTTTCTTCTGCGTCTTGACCTTTTCCTTCTCTCTTCCTCTCCAAGTCGGAGGGAAGGTCTATGGTCTTCATCGTCATGGTTTGAAGTAACTTCTCGATCTCTCTATCTCTGCTCCTTTGACTTTGCATCATAACCTTCCTGAAAGTGCCACACACCATAAAAACAATGGGCTAAGGTTTGTTTACGTTGTGTGTGTGCGCGTGTATGTGGGTGTGTAGTTGTGTGTATGTGTGTTTATGTGTGTGTTCTGTGTGTGTTTGTGTGTATGTGTGTATGTGTATGTTGTTGTGCGCGTGCTAATGTGTGTGTGTGTTGTGTTCTTATAACTCAGAATCAGTAGCTATATTTGAGTAAACTACGTGAATTGTCCTTTCTGAAAAGGTATTTTGTTCGGGTCAGACAAGAGCTTTGTAATAATGTAATATCTCAAAGGCAGTGTCCCACCAGTCCCAGATTTGTGGTATACCAGATTTCTACGGATTTCATTGGAGGACCCCTTATCACGTCAAAGCCTAAGTCCCATCCGATAATCTCTTTCGCCAAGAAAATTGGGCTCAAGGTGGCGCAAGTGCATCTTGGCGCGCGCTGGACGACATAGCGGTTTTTCTATCACGTTTTGAACGTCTCTTCCAGAGCCCGGCACGAGTCGGTTACTAGGGTTGGGTTTCTGGAAACGAAGTCTCCCCTGACTTTCGGAAGTTCTGCGAAGTCCTCTTTGACCTACCTACTTACCGGAAGACGAAAACAAGAAAGATTTACTAGACTGGAAGAAAAAACGTGAGATACGAGTGAAAATTCAACTTGGAGCTGAACACTACGCATGCACAAGGGTTTGCCATTGGAGCGCGATATTTAACAAGGCGATTTATGAAGAAAAAACAAAGGAAAGGCAATGATATGAAAATGTCTTCACGCTTAGGGATAGATTTTTGACCGGAGAACCCGTCCATGTTAATAAGATTCGAAACTTATGTGAAGTGACAAAAATATATGCTCCAGACATCTCAAATCGTCTGGTGGCCGTCTGGAGACGATCTAATTTTGGAAAAGGTATTACTTCAGATAAGTTTTCAAACCTTTTTACATGATCCTTCCGCAAATAGTTTTCTATATATAGTTCAATTTTGGTGTCATATGATTCTGTATGCGCCGTAAACAAGCAATTTGTTTATTTTAGCCTTGCTTTCAAATCGCGCGCACTTTTCGCCATGCAAGATAGAGCATGTAAATCGTGTGATAAACCTGTCCGAAAAGCTTGTGTTCGACTAAATGGTGCTTATTCTTGGTGCTCGGCCCCGACTCGTCAAAAACAATATCTCTATTGCTTTTTACTCCAAAAATGAAGTCCAGCCTGCTTCCAGGATCTGTGCCGGGCCCTGGTCTCTTCAAGCAACGCCATCCGCTTCGACGTGGTTAGCCTTGCGGTCAAAGCCAGGCCCGGCGCGAGGTGAGCAAATAAGCTCGAAATCGTTTTGGGTGAAAAAGCAAAGGGGATATCGTTTTTGCGTGGTTCGGAGCGAAGCCCCGGAATAATTGGTTTCTGCTATTGGTAGTTCATCTCTGCTTATTTTAACATGTTATGTGCCTCAACGGGCGAGCAGTGGAGGTCACGCGCGTCGAACCACCGTCGCCGATGCCTTATGGGACAGCATAATGAGTAGTTCTCAATGTATGCGTAACCATATGGCACCAAATTTCGTAAGCGAAGGAAGAGACAGTGACGGAAACAATGTATGAAAAATCATGAAAAACTTGTGTGAATGGAAGGTGTAGTAAGCATTTTTTTTAAAATTGTTCGTAAGTGGTATGTGAAAATATGAATTCAAATGGCTCGTTTGCAACGTACAGATGACGAGGTGGTATGAAACTTGGTACGTATATGCAGGGGTTATCTGAAAAGATTCATTGAAAAATTATGTGACTAAAGGTCGTGGCAAGCTTTTTGCTGAAGATTTCCCGCTACCAAAAAATGGAAAAATGGTTCTTTTGCAACGCAGAGGTGACGAAATCGGCAGTTGTCCACCTAATGCACATGTGATTGACAAAACTTCCAGTTCACTTATTTTTTCCGAAATTTTCGCATCAATTTGCTCTACACCTAAAGCTTAGTATACATTGACATTTTGGTCTCAAACCTCCTCCTCTTTTCATTGCTAGAGCCAAAAATAGCTTTAGCAGCCCCGTTTCCTAAGGAGATCAGTGTGCTTCAATCAATAAGGCGTCGCTCGGTCCTATAGTCGGCGTTGCTTTAAGGGTTTTTTCATACTACGCCGCGTCCTGCGGCATGCGCCACTGAAGTCGCAGTGAAAATATACGCTCACGGCAGCACAGCTTCGCCGGTTATGTATATCTATATTTGCTGCACATTCGCGTTCCTCCGAGAGGTTCCTCCACAGCGAGCGAGCTTATATTTTCACTGCAACTACAGTGGCGCACGCCGCAGGATGCGGCGTAGTATGAAGGAACCCTAAAATGTCGTCAATCCTCTCGCCTCATTCACTCCTCTTCGCTGTTTTTTCCACTCGTCTTTGCTATTATTCATTATTCTTCAATTCCAGTACAAGTAACATAAACTATTGGCTTTGTCTAGAATAAAACTACAGGAGTTTGAATTTTTCGTAAATGATTTTGACTTAGCCCCCATTCTCGCGCAACTGCCTGTTTTAGCACCAAATAGCGGAACTTATTGTCATGGAAAAAGAGCAGGAGAATTTGGAGAATGAAGCGGCTGTAGATTTTTCAAATAAAATCTTCAGTTTTCTAGTTGCATTTATTTGTTGATATTTAATTATTGATACTCGCTCATGCTGCTCTTTTGAAACGCAAAGCGCATTTTAAAGTGTAAGTCGCTTGCTTAGCTCCTCCTCCATGTAGGTGGTGCATATGTGAGCAGGTGTTAAGGAGGTAACAATAAAAGTCGTGGATTTAATCGAAGCCTCAGTATTCGCGCTATGATGAATATACCAATGCTTCGTGTATCTTTCTATGTATCCTTCTTTTCCTCCTGCCTTAATCAAAAAGATGTAGGTGTTCACTTTTTAACTCTTTGTAGATGACTGGGTACAATCATGACTCTTAGGCAATATATTAGAAAAGCAACATGTTCACCTGTTGAAACGTTAATAACAAAATGTGCCCTACTGAAAACATGAGTGTTGGAATGATGAAATAACCATGCTGTTTCCATTTCTTGTTTCAAAAACCCCTCCTCTGATTTCGCAGTCTCCACTCAAAAGATAAGTGAAAATTGGACTATGGCTTTGCATTAAATGGTTTGTTATTTGCTATTACTAACAAGGGAAGTCACATAACTTAGTTCGGCCTTTTTGAACGAGACACATATATTTAGAATTAGCTCGGAACGCTGATTCCAAATATGCTGTCCTTAGCTGCGAAGCGTTCCTCTAAAGCGAGTTATGAGCTTTTTCCTAAGCAAAGTTTGCCTGCTGACCGACTTAGGCATGCTACGGTATCGTCATCCGTGTAGTAGTTCAAATGCATACAACACTCTATCAAAGCCAAATGACTCAGTTTGATGTTATTTCGATTTCCCACCACTTTTTAGGCAGATTTTTTATCTAAAAGCCTTCTTTCCATATTCAGCTATATGTCAAGTGTACATACTAAAAAGGTCATAAGTCGCTTCAGAGGAAAGCTTCGCAGCTAAGGACAGCATATTTGGAATCAGCGTTCCGAGCTGATTTTAAATACAGGGTGTCCCAAAAAAATGTAAACACTGTTTGATCGTTAATAACTCCCTTGCTTTCATGCCTTTCGCCGAGCTTGAGACACCATTCTGTAGAGCGATGTTTAGCTTAGATTTGTAGTATGGAGCGAATCATCGATCGCTTTTCATTATTGTAGTATTACGGTAGGAACTTTGACAAGGATTTTAGGCCATTAGAGGCCATATTCTGCCTCGGAACAAAACCAAACAAGCCAAAAGCTCTTATACTATGGTAATGGAAGCCGCTGATTGCGAATATGAAATTTCCACTGTACTGTGACGCTCCTTTCCGAAGTTATCCCAGGTAAACCGGAATAACAGAATTCCCAGCATTTGTCAAAAATGTGATTACCCTGTCAAAAAAGCTAAAAACTCTCGTAAAAAGTTGTGTAATGGATTCTGCGTGCGCGAAAACCCTAGTACACGATTTTTCAGATTTTTTGGAAAAATTTTTATCAAATGGCATATTTCACAATGGATTCACACGCTGGAAGTTCCTACCGTAATCCAGCAGTAGCGAAGGGAGATCGGAGTTTTGCTTCATACTGTAAATCTAAGTTGAACCTCGGTCTACGAAATGGTGCCTAAAGCTCGGCGAAAGACATGAAAGCAACGGAGTTATTAACCATCAAACAGTGTTCACATTTTTTTGGGACACTCTGTATATGTGTCTCATTTCAAAAGGCCGACCTAAGTTAAGCGACTTCCCTTGTGAATATTTAAAGCTACTCATGTTGCTGAATTCGCTGTTGGGAGTAGCCAATTTGTTAGTGATTATTTCTGAACTCGATTATAGCCAATTTCTTCATCTGACTTATAAAGCAATGTGCAAGCTCCTGCAAGTTGTTATGGACTCCTACAGTTCTTGATCGCTACTTTCTTTTTGAGAATGAATCCAAAATTCAAGCATATGGTTTAGAAAAGCTGGTCACTAGATTCGAATAAATTGTCGCTTTGCCAGCGCCTGCGGGTTTACGCTGTTACTGGGGTATCTAAACATTTTCACAACATTTTTTATGTCTAGGCCACACTCTTATGCCATTTGCTACTACCAAAAGAACGATCGATTTGTACTGTGAGAACCCTTGTGAGAAGATATATCAGATAAGAAGTTTTTCGATAATCAAGCAATTAATTGCTCGCTTATCGAAAAACCCAGTTTTAGGAAGTTAAGCCGGTACTGTCATTAGACGGCCATAATGATCGGTAACGTTCGCAGGCCTTCAATCGTAACAAACCATCACAACTTGTGTAACTCTCTCAGCACATTTCAGATCAAATGCCAACCGCGTATTTACAGCTTCCGGGATCCACTCAAACGGTGTCCTGTTTTTTTTCTGGATGGGTACTTAGGTAAGTTTCTTCTCGAATTTCTTTTTCCAACTGTTACTATTTTCATGGCACTCTTCTTCTGCCTGCTGATCCCCGCGCTAGCCGAAAACGGTGACCGTGACTGTCACCGCAATTCGAGACAAGAAAGAGCGTCAGGAAGACTCCGACCGTTGATCGACTGGTCAACGTCGGAAGCACTAGCTTGCGCTTTGTTTTTTTTTGAGGGTGAAAGTGAGTAAGTGAGAGGAGTGGAATGTAAGAGTGGGTATAGGAGTGGAGTGTTTGAAGATGAGGGTGAGTTTGAGAGGTACTGTAAGAGTGTGGATTAATTGAGGGTGAGGATGAGTAAGTGGAGAGTTGGGAGTATGTCTGTAGGATTACAAGAGTACTTGAGAATGAATGAGAAGACGAATGTGAGAAATATGTGTGGAACTCGAGTAATGTGAAAGGTTTTATATATTGTGAGCATATAAATGGTAAGACTTTCTTTCCCCTCCTCCCCCCTCCTTCAAACCTGTGGATGCAATTTTTTTTATTGTCCTTATTGCATATCTCTAGTATGATCTCCATATTTGTATTTTTGCTATTATTATAAATAAATTGTTTTGGAGGTTTTTGCTTTAATAAAACTTGTTCTCTAGGTAAACTGTTTACAAGTTTGCGGGAGCTTGTAATTCAAAAAATCCCGAGGCCCAAATTCTGGTGAGACAACTGTTAAAGTTCTTCTTATTAGAGAATCAATCATAGGGCTATAGAAAAAGCAAATGGACTTGAAGGATTTTGCAGTACAAAAACATTGCTTACGTCTTCGCCTTCAATTTGACGCGTTTCTTAGATTTGCCCTTCGCTACTGGTTTCTGCAATCAATTATCTTAATATCGTCCATTCCCCACAGTATAGCGGGCGGAGCTTTGCCGACGTTTGCCAACGTATTCGCGCGGCAGTTTTTGATAGCGAGAGAGGACAAAAACTAATGCTTCAAAATGGAGGTTCAACAAGTTTTCCAACGAGTTCAAATTTTTGCAGGGAAACGCCCGCTATACGCACGAAAGTCGCCTAAATGTATCTTTGCTTTTTAGCAGGAAGATCTCATCAAACAATGCGGAAATAGTCGACTCCCAGATTTATGTGGAGGCGGTTTGCGGACTTCCTGATGAAGTATAAGCTTAACGAGGTAGTATGAAATACAATGCTGTAATGTGGAGGTTTAACAAGTCTATCCCGAAAATCAGGGTGGTCCGCAACTCGCCTTCACACGGATCTGAAAGTCGATGATACCTTCATCTTCATGCGTTTCTCATGCATCTTCAGCAGTTGCTTGATTTCGTCAGGTTGCTTGGTCAGCGATGTTTCACTTCTTGTTTTCTTCTAAAATGAGGAAAGCGGCCTTAATTGGTGCAGTGTTCCACTGTACGCCGTGAGTGCCTTTGTGTTGCAAAACCTTAATTCTTGCTGGAAAGAGCCAACCCCTCGTTAAAGCAGCGTCTCGGCAGATTCGCGCCCTAGCTGTGGTGAGGTTCCTGGTTACCCCACTGATCTCCAAGTTCACTCCGGCTGGTTGATGTCCTTCCTGCGCCGAGAAAATAGCCCTTAAACCGGCGCGTGCAACCCTCACCAACACGCGCTCGGACACTCGCTTGCTTACCGGTTCGCCGCGGGACTCCACGAACGCTTCTCGCATTGTGCATGCTTTCCAAAGCAAAAATTACAGGCGGCAGGTTCCTCGTACCGGAGTCTCCCAAGTCAAAATTTTCGTTCAAACTGCATTTTGAAAATTGAGTACACGCCCCAAAAACGATCTTCATCGCCCCGCCTTTAAGCTCAAATTCGGATTCTACGTGTCGAAAAGGCCTAAGAAATGCAGAAAGGTGGAAATGCAAAATATGCCGTACACTGCGTTTAAGCTAACTCCCTGTCTCTACCGTTCCTTATCAATGTACGCAGCTGTAATGCTGTTTTGAGCTCCCGCTTTAAAATTGGAAGTATCAATATAATCTGGCGATTGAAGACGACATTTATATCACTAAACGCGTCTCTAAACGCCAATTCCAAATCTGCTTTCCTTTCTTTGCGGAACAACTCCCCGAAAGAAAATATGAGAGACTGAATGTCCAAGTTTATGGAGCATTAAGCGGCTTAAAATTGGAGAAAAACTCTAGAAAACACCTATGCGCGTTTTCGCCGGCTTTTTTTTTCTTGCAAACAGTACACTCGATACAAAATTAATCACCCTCTTTTAGATGCCTTTTCCAGCTTTTCGCTAATTTTAGGCCGATTGAAGCCTGACAAACTGAATATTCAAGCGCTCATAAATTCTTTCAGAAAGCTGTTCCGCAAAAATGGAGAACGATTTGGAACCAGCGTACGAAAAGTAGTGATAAATGTTGTTTTCATTCGCCAACTTATGTTGGCATGCTTCACTTATAAGCAATTGTCTGCCATTTTCAAAAATGTTATCTAGAAAAGATCTTTGGAAGCTTGGAAACCTAATGTTGAAGGATACCTAAAAGCTTTGGATCGTTAGCTTCTAGTCGCTGCACTCAAGAATTGTGCTTAAAGATGAGTGATGACTAGTTTTCTTCACTCATAGCATGCGAATGTGTTAGTGGGGTTGAGTTAAAATCCTGGAATTTGACACATCAGATTCACCGCAAAAACTACAGTTCTGCATTTAGTGAAAGACTTCGAAAGGAGGAGTACCTACAAACATGAGACTTCTCCTAGCGAGACATGCTGAAACTGCTAAAACCTATTTTTTGTAGGAGCTGCATGCATTGTTTCCGCTGGGAAAGTCTGAGCTCCACGAAAGCTTTGCATATCTTCTATTGCTACACAAATCTATATTCCAGTTAGTTACATGTTTTTGTTTTTAGATTATAATCATGCTTTTCTTCTATTTCTGTATGCAAAGTTCTAAATTTCTGTTTGGGATTTGAGAAGTTATTGGCTTTTTTGTTTCGGAATTTTGCAGCAACAATTGCCGCATGCATTTGGAGCACTCCCTCATTATTGGCGGAATATTCCGAAGGAAATATTGCGGCCACAGCACGTTCCAGAACAATAAAATGGCAGTACTGGGGCACGATTTCTTTTCTACCGTGACTTGTTGAGTAGGTATTCCAAATCAACAACGCTGCTTTTAATCTTTCACTACCTTTTTGGATCCGTGGCGTTCACTTTTGGTGTCATGATGTTTCTTATTTGACGAGGAAGAACTTTCACTTGACGTTGTGCGAGACATCTGAACTGCGATCTTCATGCATTCGAATTTTTGCAGTGGCTAGAATAAGAGCGCGACATACCTTAGATTCTCTGCTATTACTTGCACTTTTGTTAGATTTCGTGTTCCCTTGTTGAATTGTGCCCTGAATTCCATAGAGAAAGAGTGCACAAGAGCGTAAGTAAGGGTAGTGTGAGCTTTATGCATTAGTGAGCGAATCAAGATAGAGGCATGGAATGTATGACTTTGAGCAAAAAAAAGTCAAATTTTGCGCATTTCATATTTATGAATGCTGCAAGTCGAGCTTCAAACCAACTAAATATTTTGACTCATTGTATCATGATTTTTAGGATAGAAAGTAAAGGGGATGTTGTTTCTGCCGGCTCCGTGGCTGAGTTCACAAAAGTCCCAAGAATTACATCAAAGGCAAACTCTACGTTAAGAATCGTACATCCAAACATCCCTCTATTTGAAGTGTCAAAACATGTCATTACTTACAAGCTTCAACACATCGCACAGCGAGGGAATTAGAATTGGCTAGAATAAAATGTCTTGTTTAGAACGAGCGCATGACAGACACCAAATTTGGTATGCAGGGGGAATTGGATGCGCGTGAGGGAAGTTGACCTATGGCCAAAAAAATTGAATTATATGAACGAAGGCGTCGTGCCCAACTTTTTTTTCTGAATGAACTGTCTCAGCTGGATATCAGCTGAGATAGAACGACCCTTGTTTACATAACTCTTAGCTGATTTTTGCAAAATCTATTTGCACTTTCGAAGATCATTTGTAGGTTGTCTCAATGTGTGTTTTGAAGCTCTAGCGGTTCGAATCATGTAGCTGTTTCGTTTATACCTTGCGTCCATTCCAGGCTTTTGTTTAAATCACCGCAGCAAAGAGCGCTGCTAAGGCTTGAGGAAATGCCAGAAGGGCACGTGCGCGAGCACGGCGCAGATCTAAAAGGCAATGTCCAGGCAAAAAGTCGGTCTTGAGATTCCTTGCTCCTGGGCCTATTAGCTATGCTGAATCTGAAATTTCATACTGAAGAGCGCGAAAATGGCGAAAAAGGCCTCTAACGCAGGAGGGAGATCAGCATGGGCGGGGTCCTCCACTCTGTGAAGTCACCCTCCCAGCTTCCAGAGCGCTTTTCTCGTTTCCTGTAACCGATTTAACATCGCCACGGCAAGCGCGAACACGTGACTTGAAGCCGGAGTCGAAGAGATCGCTCTGGAAGTTAAAAGAGTGTCTTCACAGAGTGGAAATCCCGCTTACCTGCTGATATCTTTCCTGCGCTAGAGGCCTTTTCGCCGTTTTCGCGCTGTTCAGTGAATTCAGCTTAACAGGTAAGCAAAAAATTTCAAAATCGACTTTTTGCGGGGACAGCCTTGGCGAGGCTGCGGACCCGAACGCTAGAATTTTGACCTCTACACTGGGAAGATCTGCAAGCATAAAACGACTCAGCTTTTCCCTCTAGGCTTTTTCTGTAGTCCTTAGATAATCTTCATTTTCATCAAAAGCAATATCAGAAGCAATTTGCTTCAATTGCAAAGCATGTAACTGAGCGATTTTATCACTCCCAATTAAAATCTGTGAGACTGTTCCAAGTAGGAAATTTTGTTGAGATTTGGTTATTGTGTATGCGGAGCCCCTACAAAACGCTGGGTTTCGTACTGGTAGTATATGCATCCAATTCATTGCTGATGTGAATAAAGCAAGTAAGAATTAGTAGAGAGGCCTTGAAAAGAGACTTCGTGAGATTTTGCGAAAACCAGAAAGCGACTTTGTTTTATAATCTTCCCTGATCTTAATTGGTACCCAACCCTGCGGCGACTGTGTCTGAACTATATGTGACACGAATTTGGAGACAACGAAATGATTTTACATAGTTCCACAACTCAAAACAATTTTTTTGATCATGAATTGTTTTCGCCTTCATTGATTTTTGTAAAGTGAAAAACGATCTTGATCGGTAATGAAACAAAACGCTTTTTCAAGCGTGCTCTTCTTTGAATGCTAGTAAGGATTTTGTCGTTATAGAGCATAACATGTTTTTATGAAACTCTCCACCGATGTAAACATCTCGGAATTTGACAAAACCTGTAGTTGCTCTGATTAAATTGTGGGGCACTAATCCCTTTGAAAATGAAGCTCAACTATCAGCGCATATTCCGGTAATAAGCTGCGCAAAAAAGTTTGGATTTGGGCAACATACCATTACTAAATAAGTAAATCCCAATCTCATTCACTCTTATGAAAACGCGAGTTCAGGCTGATCTGCGAGCTACTAGTAAGAATGTTCAGCTCTACAAATTGACTTGGATGTTCCATGTTTGCTAAACTGAAAAGCACACTAAATAGGACTTGGTGAAATGAATTATTAAATTGTGAGCAATTTGAAAGCTGTCGCTCCTAATTTCAAAAAAAAAAAGCGTCCTAAAAGGGAATAATTATAAATTTGTTTGCTTCTTGAGAAGTCCGGTGAGTCTCAATAGTTGTATTCAAACAAAGCGTAGTGCAATAAAGCCTGCAATGGGGGATTTGCGAGAAGTTGTGAAGTGACTAACAACTTTGTGTATACAGTAGTATGGACTTTTGCATTGAGAAGATGCCTGACCCGCAGCTGCGGACTGCAAATTTCTACAGTAAAGAACGGATCTCAATCCCTGTTCAGCGTCAAAAGTTGCTAGAAAAAAAGGAACTAAGTCAATCAGGATTGCTGATTGTTCAGATCAATTGCAAATGCTGGTTCTAACTGAGCTTTTTACTTTGCTATGTCTACCTCAAAGTTACGACAATTATACCGTGATAGCTTATCCTATCCTCAATTATCAAAAATCAACCATCTAAACTGCCTTAACAAAGCAGTTCCATTATTCTGTAATCACAATGCTGAAGATTTCCACTACTTGTCAGATGTTCTGGAATTTCCGAAATAGCATCTGATGTACTAACCAATTTGTGCTGGAAATTCTCAGAGCGTTAGAGCGTGTTCCAGCCAACGTCCTAAGCCCAAATTTCGCACAGCACTTGCTACAAGTGCAAGTCCACAGTGCAAAAGCACAAGCGGATTTGTTGAGCGGATTTCTCAAAAACTGCGCGTCAGACGGATTCACTTGCTTTCTTGCTAGCACTATTATAGGTTGTACCAACCCGCATCGGTTATGCGACGTCGCGCCTGCAGTTTGACGCGTGCGAACACTGCTACGCGTTAAGGCACGTCGCCCGCGACCGTGCTTCCTCGCAAGGCATGCTAACGCGGGATCGATGCTGGTTGTTACAGCCTATAGGTCCGTAGTACTCCTTTTTTGCAAAATCAGGATATTTTGACCGTAAACGGGCAAGCCATGATCAACCCAAAAAAGTGATTAAAAATCTACTATTTTACGAAAACAACTAAAAAGAATTTGTTGCGTAGATGGTCAATTTGCCAAGATTTTCGCTGAGCATATGAGTAGATTTCTGCACAAAAATACAACTCACGATAATTATTGTCCTTATGCGATTAGCAAGCTAAAGATTCTAAAAGCCGATTCAAATTGGCATTCGTTCTTCTGCGAGAATTTTTATATACGCGAAATTACCGATCAGATGAAAAGTTCTCGGAATTGTTATTGTTTACAGTTCATTCATGATAGACAGCACGGTGCGATGACAATGCATCATTATGCGAGAATAGATAAGGCATATTGTTGGTAAAACTTGTGCGAGCCTTTGCCAGGCCAGAGACGCACTTGATAACTATCGATATCCCTTTTGTATACTTAGCGGAAGCTATTAATATTATCTAAACATATATAAAACTGAATGTTGGTAAATTGTTAGTTAAATCAATAGAAGGAGTGGAAATTTTGCTGCGAAAAGTTAGTGTGTTCTTTATAGGAAATTTTGTGTGTGGAAAGATCGGCCCCAAACTTTTTACACATATGTTCTCGACACCGTTCTACCCCTAGGCTACTTTTCACAGCGAAATTTCCACCGCTTCTGTCGATTTATCGATTATGAAGAAAAATAAACTTTCATCGACTGATATCGCGCTTCCGACATCCGGTAAACAATAGCTGCAGAACTTATTTTTATTCCATGGTGAGGGAGGGCGGTGAAAACGATGTGATTCAAGAGATATCTGCCCTGTCTTACAAGAGCAAAAGAAAACTGAAACGCAGATAAGTCGCACATTTGAGTTGAGCATCGAATTTGCTCTTTGTTGAGCCAATTAAAAACTCGGTGCGGGCGAAGCCGGGCATACCAGCTAGTGACATATAATAAGCGCTTGATCTGAAGCTGTGTGGAGTCTGCTCGTTGCAAAATTACAACAATGAATGATTTTCAATATTTCAAGCACGTGATGTCTGATAGCGAGAATGATTCGTTTTCAGCTAGGGTCACTCGCTTCAAGCAATTTGGTGTCAGCTATTACAACGTAACTCTACTCTAACACTTTCATTGATGACCAGTGCAAGCTTCTGCGAAACAGAGAAGAAAAAGCACTGGTTATCAATAAGCCACCTCCATTTCACTCTCGGCTAATCGACGCTGATAGCATGTCGATTTACTGAATCTTGCTTTAATTTTTGCAAACTGAGCAAGAGAGCTGAGAATTTCTGTGCAGAAGCCTATCGGCTTCCATCCAGAAGTCGCCAGCGGCAGGCGGCCATGCGAATTTCGAGCAAGCGGGTACCGGAAAAATAGTTCGCTGATTTCATGTGGTCCGCTTGCAGAAATTTGAAAGAATGTTGGCCAATTTTTAGAGATATGCTTGGAGAAGTATCGTGGTTTTTCTATAGATTAGTTGCGGCGCAGTGGCCGCATTCTCGCAGACTTTGCACGAGAATATGCAAAAATATTGAGGGCCGCACGGCCCTTTGTGAAGGACTACACAGCCCGTAGGTACCTTCCGCCAAAAAAGTACCTCAAACTTGAGATTTAAACCATCGATGACACCTCTGCCACATAGAGTCTCATCTTTACTCGGCGTATGCCCGAGACTGCGTTAAAAGAGTCCTAACGCTTGCTGAAAGTTTAAACAGCACTCGCGAAAGAAATTATTTGCAGAGCGCTTGCAGAAAATGCTGTATTGTTGCTCGCTGGCAGAATATGCGACCGTAAAGGAAGTGCCGCCCGCTGAAGGCTTGGCCACGCCCCAAAACTCCGCTGACCGCCTGCAGAAAAGCGCGAGTTTGCGGGCCGGATTGCCTCCGGCGATTATCTGAGCAGATTGCCGCGAGGGTGGAGTCGAGCGAGAGCGAAACGCTGCCGCTGCTGAAACATGGCTGATAAATTAACTATTGATGGACCATCGCTGCCATTCTAGCGCCAATCTGGGAGCCGATGTTAGGTCAGCGGAATCGAGGGATTTCCGTATGCTAACTTTTATGAGATGCTCAGATCAATTCTGTTTGTGTATCATATCTATGGCGCAGCGAATAAAGTTTAGTCTTACTTGTGTGGCTTGTGTATGAAAATCCATGTTGCTCTTTCCTTTCTCTCCTCTCTTTCGCTCCTGTTGTGATTTTGTGCATATAATTACTGAAAACATTTGTTTCTTTTATTCTAAATCACATTGCCTAGGTTAAGAGCGAGGAAAGTTTAGTTACAATCCTTTAGCAAAATAAATGCTCTCGTGTGCATTTCTATATTTTAGACCTTTAATAGTTTTGTCTTACCCACAGAAGCAGAGTGGACTCAGCAAGTTAATGCCATTATGTTTTAAGGAATCGCATCTATGAAAAGAGACATCACTCAATCCTTTTTCAAGTGTCGCACAGAAGCGCGTTCCCCACATTGTAGAGGAAGACCTACATAAATTTAAGAAGATAGGTATAGTGTACATCAAAATAGGTGTAAGTGGCCAATGTCCGAGAATGACCACATAAAGAGAGTGCATAATAAAAAATGATTCAATCTATCGTCTCATCAGTTCATAATTACATTTTGTGGTAATCAGCTTATCGTCCTTTCCGGTTGCAAAGTAGACATGTCTTTGCGACTTTTGGTATTGGTGAGGTTGGGAAAAAAGCTACTCGTAGGCAGGGTCAAACGCTGGGTGTGACACGTCACACCTAGAAAGTCGTATCAAGTGGTCAAAAAAGTGGTCAAATAATAATAGTCAAGTTGTCACTGATGATGATGATAATGCAACGATCGATTTTCGTTACCAGCATGCTAGATAGCGTCAATGTGCATAGTTGAATGTGAAAGTCTGGTACTTTTTCGTATAAAATGAGAAGGGAAGTACCTAGAAACGAAAACACAACACACGTAATTCGAAACCTTACAAATACAGCTCAGCTTATGATATTCAAAATTGCCTTTTAGCTCCCACTCCGCCCTTAAAATTCTTGGCAAGTCCACCTGTCGTGGCACGCTGGTAGTTGCGATAAAATTCGCTCAAGTCTTCGCAGTAAACGCTTCTTTTAATTGGCAATTGTGCGACATGTGGAGCAAGCTACACTATACTCAGGGGAATTTTCTGCAATGTTTGGAAATAAAGTATTGCATTATAAAAGGCATCTGTACGTTGTATAGTAAGAAATTGTTCCATCGGCTGATCAGATAACTGCTTACATATTGTACAATACTGCAAATTTCGATCCCAGACTTTTGCCGCACTTTGTAGGATGTTTTTGAAGGTCGATCTACCACACTTAATGGAGAAAAATTTAGAGGCTCTACCGTACATAAGGATTTAGTCTTCATAACAAGCATATCAAAATGCTTTTGTAAACCGAGTTTGGAGATTCGGAAGTTCCTGAGTTGACGACTTGTTCAGGTAATCGCCGGGGGCAGGCCGTCCGCAAGCTCGCGCTTTTCTGCAAGCGGTCAGCAGAATTTTGGGGAGTGGCCAAACCTTCAGCGAGCGGTACTTCCTTTACTATCTAATGTTATGCCAGCTGGCAGCAACACACAATTTTCTGCAGGCGCTCGTCAAATAATCTCTTTCAGCGAGCGCTCAAATTTTCAGTTCGCGCTCGGACGGTTTTTAAGCAGTTTCGGGCGTACGTCGAGCAAAGATGAGACTCTACATAGCAGAGGTCGATGGTTTAATCACTCAAATTTGAGACTTTCTCTCAGCGGAAAGTACCTGAGGGCTGCGCGGTCCTCCACAAAGGACCGTGCGGCCCTGGAAAATTTTGCATATTAGTCCGCAAGAAGTCCGCGAGAATGCGGCCACTGCGCCGCAGCTAATCTATAAGGAAACCGCGATTGTCCTCCAGGCATTCGTTTAAACTTTCGCCAAAATTCTTCCGAATATCTGCAAGCGGACCGCAAGAAATCAGCGAACTATTTTCCGGTCCCGCCCGCCCATAAATCGCATGGTCGCCTGCCCCCGGCGATTATCTGAGTGAGTGAAATATTAGGTTGCTCCGAAAGTTCTGTCGTTTTATTGGAAATTTGTAACTTTTTGCTGTCTCCACGGATTTGCTTCTTTCTAATTTCATTAAAAAGAAGAATTCTTCATCTTTTAGATATATCTTGGGAGCTTCAACTACACATTCAATGCAGAGACAAAAATGGAGAAAAAAGATTAGAGCTTTGACAATTTTGAGTTAGGTCGCCAAAGATCTGGGACGCAGAAAAATCTGAAATTGTCAGTATATAAGTTTTATGGCCTGATCTTTGCATCCGAGAAGTTATGCTGTTTGGACGTTTCAGTGAAAGGTTGTGTTTTCGAGAAACGTGAAAATTACCCTAATTTCACGCGTATAAGGCGCACCTTTTCGAATTTTCAAGCGAGCCGCTCAGCCACTTCGCTGTATTCCGAAAAGAAATCCTTACATCGCACGATTCTCTCAAGCAATATACAGCACGTTATAGGATCCTTTGGTTGTAAAGTCCTTTGGCTTGTCTGGGCTGGTAGATTTTGAAAAAAAAATCCCCGCGCCTTATACGCGTGAAATTAGGGTAACCAATCTTGGCGTTTTCTTGGGTGCGTAGCAAGTGGTACCCAGGCAGCCGACTACGGCCGCAGCCAGCCTCCAGAGCTGCCGGCAAAGCAGCTGCAGATGATACAGTAATTGCGCTCGTTGTCTAAAACTCTTGCCGAGAGGTTTTCTCGCACCTCGTTGCTTTGAGGTGCGATATCAGCCTCAGGAAAGCGTGATATCCTCGATATCTATATCATTTTGAACAGCAGAAAACTCATGTTTTTTGATGAACATGCAAATAGACAAGGGTAAACAGAGGTTTTTTGAAGGAAGATGATCACAAAATCAAACCGCTTTAAAACTCAAAGGAAGCAGAAATTGAAAAATCCAGGAATTCTCAAATTCAGAGATTTTTCTCGCTTTCACGTCTAAAAAAGGAAGAGGAGTGTTCATGGAAAAGTGAGTTTGATTTTTAAGAGCTCTTTACTGGAAAATAAAGGATCCGCAAATTACAGCGTCAATGGACATTTATTGTTCTTTGTTTTCAGAATTTGTTACAGGGAGGAACTTTTTGATTTAGGAATTTAAGACTTCCCAAATTTTTCAGATCTGCTTCCTTTGAGTTTTTAAAGTAATTTGATCTTGTGATCATTTTTCTTTAGAAAAACCCTCCTCTGTTTACCTTTGTTCATTTGCATGTTTATCAAAAAACACGAGTTTTCTGCTGTTCAAAATGATAGAGATATCGAGGATATCACGCTTTACTGAGGCTGATATAGCACCTTAGAGCGGCGAGGTGCGAGAAAATTCTCGGCAAGAGTTTTGGACAACGACCGTAATTACTGTACCATCTGCAGCGGCTTTGCCGGCAGCTCTGGAGGCTGGCTGCGGCAGCAGTCGGCTGCCCGGGTACCACTTGCACGCCTCCCCGTTTCCTTTGAAAACTCGAAAATTATAACTTTTCACAGAGACGTCCAAACAGCACAATTTTTTCTCAGCCTAAGCTTTACATATAAAGCTGAATATCTGTTCGTCTGTATGTGTGTTTGTGCGTCTATCTGCGTATGTTCCGAACACAAATTTGTTTCTGAACCAATCGGAACAAACTTAGGAATCATAGACTTTGGGGGTCGGGCGGGTGTCATGGGCTATTTTTCGTCATCGATCGATTTCAATATTTTTGAATTTCGTCGATTTTCTGTAAAGTTTGACCTAGGCGGCTGGGTTTTGGCAAAGAAGGGGGGGGGGTAATCGAGCATTGCTGATTACGACATTATTTGTTTTTAGAATCGTCTATTACTTTTATAGATTATTAAGTTTTTGCAAAGATTGAGCAGCGCATCTGGAAATTAGTACAGGGGGATAATCGAGCCCAGATTACGAAAATAAAACGAGGATAGGAAATGCTCATGTGCAAGTGGGCAAGGGAAGAGACAGGTGTAGGGAATATAACCTTCATCATAATGTTTTCACACAGGGCTGGCCGGAGCCGGATATGCCAGCTAGTATCAAATGAACATGAGTAGCTTTCATCCCTATCCATGTATATACGACCTTTCCCTGTGCCCTCTTTTACATGCAATTCCCTATTCCTGGAATGATATCCACAAAAGTCCCCGCGAAATGGGCTTTTCTTGCGAATAAAATGGACTTAGTCCATGCGGTGCGATAAGATATCGCATGCGCGAATCCATTCATTCCATACAAAACTTCTTCAGCAAACCTTTCTCCAACTTGCTTCATCCTGTTTGCTCACTCTTGCGAACTCATTTCACCAAGTGGTCGGTAAACCAACTAGGGCTGACTAACATTACAATGACGATCGCGTGGATATTTTATATCATTTATTATTATCTACGTGCGTTTAAATACTTCCATTCACCCAAAATACGTGTAACTTCCCTGCCTTTGCTTTTCAAGACTTCTATGAATCTGCATTAGATCAAATATGTATGCAGAGCTTTCTACAAAAAGCAAACTTGGGCTAGACTTGCACTGCAATCTATGATTCAAAATGCTCACGTCATGGGAAACCCTTGCACCACACTACAACCCAAAGGATTTTGTAAGTCGAAAAGACCATAAATCTGCAAAAAGATGACTTCGCAAATGTTCTACTTTAGCCCTTTTTGTCTCTCAGCACTAATGTTTATATCTCCAAATAGCTGACTGTATGGCTATTGCTAGTAAGATTTTACAGAATTTTTCCTGCTAGCTATAGCCATTTCAGTAAGCCTCGTGACCAAACTCAAAATCGCGTTTGAAATGCTGTCTTTGAGGTTCGGTTTTACGAGATTAGTCAAAAGATAGCTTCTGAGTAAGTATATTGAAATGCAAGTTTTTTCTATTTTCAAATACAAACCATGAATTGTTTTGGTTGATGATTTGAAGAACTAACAAACTTCACTTGATTTACATAGGGAATTTTTGCACCGACCTGATATTTGGAAGCAATTAAGTTTGTGTTATCAAATATTTTGGTGACTTCTTCTATGATTTTTCTAGCGCTTGTATGAGTTTAGTAAGAAATACCTATTTCAGACTTCATATAAGACATAAAACTTCTTCCACTTACTTGTTACCTTAGAATGGGCTAAAGAACACATTCTCAAAAAATCGCCATCAAAAATGTGCAAAAAGTTCAAAAATGGGCTTAGAGCCAGCTCACCTTGCTGCTGGGAGTAGAACGGGCTTTCAAGTCCATTTGAAATGGAAGTAAATCCCATTTTGCCCCGTTCTAAATGGACTTTTCGCATGATTCTTTCACAAGCGAGAGCTCAAGTAGGGCTAAATCATTTTCATCTCAGACAAACGACCGGAACTTTCGCAGAGCGCTTGCGGAAGTTCCGCCAGGTCACCTGCGGAAGTTCCGTAAAGAGCTGCGGAAGTTCGAAAGGAGGTCCTGCGGAAGTTCTGAAGAATGCCAACCACAACCAAAAGAGAACACCGAAGCGAGATTTGAACCTCACTCTATCAACTGTAAGACCCACCTACTATCCTCTAAGCTATGGCTGACATGTTCGATAATGCAGTCTAGTTGATGGGGAGGCAACATCACAAGACAACACATTCAGAGTCCTGCGGAAGTTCTTTCAGGCCAAAGTGCTGCGGAACCTCTGGCATTTTTCGGAATTTCCGCAGTGTTTTGAAGAAGGTTCTGCGGAAGTTCTGGTTTTCAACCAGTGGCCGTATTCATTAACGAACCCTGAGGGTTAAACTAACGCAGGTAAAGTTTAACCCTCAGGGTTCATTGGCCGTATTCATCAACATAGAGTAGGGTTTACCACGGAATGCAATTCATCCGTATCGATCAACGAACCTGTGGCCGTTTTCCGAACCCTGGGGGTTGAATTAACCCTGGAGGGTTAAGGCGTCAGCTACGCGTGCGCTGTGCAAACTCACATCACAGAATGCCTAAGTACGTGCTAAACTCACTTTTACTTCTATTTTTTCACTGTTATAGTAGTACCAGTGCGTCACCTCTGCTTCGCAGAGGCTCGCACTGGTTCTACTATCTAGGCCCTACTCATTCTCGCATAATGATGGCATTGAAACTCACCGAGCAATGCCTACTATCATGAACAAAATGTAAACAACTACTCATTCCGAAAGCTTTTTCATGTGAAATCGGTGATTTCGCGTGGATGAAATTTTTTGCAGAAGAATAAAGCAAAATTTTGTACGTTTTTGATTTTCCCACAGTCTTGACAATCGCCATAAGAACAGTAGTCACCATAAGCTACATTTAGGTGCAAAAATCTCATCAAATGCTCTGGTAAAAGCTTGGCAAAATGACCATTTACGCAACCAATACTTTTTGGCGCCGTTTTTGTAAAGTAGTGGACTTTTGATCACTTTTTTGGGCCTAAGTTCATGGTTTGCACATTTACTTGCCATAAACATCCACGAGCCTGCAAAAAGTGGAATTACGGACCCAATTTTGGGGACGAAAAGCCAGGTGGGTCCGATTGACGCGCATTTTTTGAGGGATCCGCTAAACGGATCCGCTCAAGCTTTGATATAGTGGACTCTCATGTTGGTTGCATGCGCTGTGCAAAATTTGGGCTTAAGATGTTGGCTGGCAACCGTTCCACGAATTTCGTGACAGACAGACAGACACACACACAAAAACACGTAAACATCCTTAGCCCGTTATTATAAGTTACCAGTGCGTCACCTCTGCTTCGCAGAGGCTCGCACTGGCTCTTCTATCTTATGCCACACTCATTTCTGCATAACATGGCATTGAAACCTACCGCGCAATGCCCGCCTTCACGAATGATTCGTAAGCAACTACTCATTTCCTAAGCTTTTTCGAGTGAGATCGGTATTTTGCGTGGAAACTTGAAACTTTGGAAAATGAAGAACAAATGCAAATTTGAACAGGTTTTGAAACTTTTTTTGGCTTGGTAGTCGCAATAAGGACAATAGTCATCGTGAGCTACATCTCGATGCAAAAATCTTCTAAAATGCTCAGGTAAAACCACGGCGGATTGACCATTTATGCGAGCATTTCTTTTTGGCGTCGTTTTCGTAAAGTAGCAAACCTTTGGTCACTTTTTTGGTCTAAAGTCCATGGCTTACACATCAACCTGCTAAACGCGTCTACGGCTTTGCAAAAAACGTTGATACGGACCCAATTTTGCGGGCCAGAAGCCAAGTGGATCCGTTTGACGTGCAAATTCTGGGGGACCCACTCAACGAATCCGTTCGTGCTTTTGCATGATGGAGTTCTACCTTGGTAGCATGCGCTATGTAAAGTTTGGGCTCGGGATGGTGGCTGGAACCCGCTGTATGAATTTCGTTACAGACAGACAGACAGACAGACAGACACACACACACACACACACACACACACACACACACACACACACACACACACACACACACACACACACACACACACACACACACACACACACACACACACACACACACACACACACAAAGTCACGTAAACACCCTTAGCCCGTTATTATGAGTTATGATAATCAACAAGTAAGCTTCTAACACTACTTTTTATAATACATCTCTAGCATATTTGTGTAGCATCCAATCTTACAGCGTGAGTTTATTTTCACGTGTGCAATTGTGCCGTGTGAGTTCTACTTTTACGCAGTTCGTTTTATACCGGGCTGTGCTACTCTTTTAAGGATCAATGCGTATTATCATAAAGGAATTCTTCTGCTTTGGCATTTGTCAGAGTGGAATGCGCAACCATTTTTCCTCGTTGCATTCATTTGTCACCAAAGCTAGAAATCTTTTTCTCGCGAAGTCAGTGTTTCATATATATACTTCGAATTTGAACATAAAACGAAGTCGAAACCAAATACTATAACAACAACACACTAAATACTACAACATACTGGTTGATCGTTTTCCATAAAACTATTAGATGCGAGTAAATGTTTGTATGATGTGTTAGGGTAGAATTAACCTTGCTCTGAGCTGGGGTTAAATTAACCCTGATGAATCACGTAAGTTTAACTTTCCAGGGTTAGTTTAACCCTCACGGTTCGTTGATGAATACGGGTTAGTCGCTTTCGGAGTAAAATTAACCCTCAAGGTTAGATTTAACCCTCAAGGTTAAGCCTACCCTGTGTTTCATGAATACGGGTTAAACGCTTTCTAGGGTTAAACTAACCCTTCAGGGTTAGTTTAACCCTCGGGGTTCGTTGATGAATACGGCCACAGATTGGCATGAAGGCCCCTCGGAAGTTCCGTTTTTCAATGCTTTCATTTTTGCAATAGTGAACAAATCCTGCGGAATTTCTGCAAATTTGGCTTGTCTTGCGGAAGTTCCGGTGATTTGTCTGAGATCACACCGCTTTGCCTCGTGGTTGCGATGAGATTAAAATTCTTGGATAACGCTAACGAAAGCAGATTCCGACCAGTTTCTACCGCGAACGAATAAAATGGGGTTGGAAGTCCATTTTCCTCCATTGTGGACTTTCGTGGATATCATTCCTGCTGTGTTAGTTATCAGCATGCTCACTTATTTTTGTGCGAATTCCCAGCCCCTGTAGCTCAAAGTTTGCAAAAATCGATAAAATCGATAAAAGTAATGGACGATTTTAAGAACTAAGTATTCGTAATCAGCATGCACACGATTATCCCCTGTGCCAACTTCCAGCTTCGTAATCTCTACTTTGCAAAAAATCTGTAAAATCAATAACACTAACGGATAATCTTAAAACTAATACTGTATTCGTAATTAGCATGCTCGATTAGCCCCTGTGCCAACTCCCATCCCCACAGGTCAAACTTTACAAGAAATCAATATTGAGCGCAGCACAGCACTCAATGAAATCGATATCAATCGATGACGATGCGTCAGGAATTTTGCGCGCGCTGAGTCCATTACTTGACTCTTTAGGAGTTTGTAAAGCTTTTGAAAGAGTATAATCACAATTTTAGGAGCATTGTCAAGACAGCTCTTGCGGTTTACCTGGCATAAGCTATTAAGGAAGCATTGCCGTAAAGTGCAAAAACCATATTTAGGTTTGGCTACTCTGCTTAGCCCAATGTAAGTTTTCAGGTTGTTTGGCTTGCTTTTTGAAGGTTTTGGCCATACTCTGTCCGTGTTACCAGTGTTACCGGTGTTACCAGTGTTACTCGTGTTACTGGTGTTACCCGTGTTACTCGTGTTACTGATGTTACTAGTGTTACCGCTTTATTGCTGTTGAACTGTTCGCGGAGTTTATACCGTAATCCTACAGTAATAAAAAGCGATCGGTGACACGCTCTATACTGTATATCTGAGTTGAAGCAAGGTCTACAAAATGGCACCTGAAGGTAGGCAAAAGAGTTCCAGGGTGAAGAGATATTGACGATCAAACACATGGAAGTGGAAAATCTGGGTGGTGCCTTTAACGCAAATCCATCTACGAGAATGAATGAGAAATTGCATGCAAGATCTTACAGCCACTTAGTGCAAAACTCTAACTGTGCACATTTCAGCAGATACAACTTTAAATCGTTCGAATTTCAAATTATATGCTCAGCATTATTAATATAAAATTTATTATTCGAAGAAATTTGTTATGTAAAGTGGACATACAGTTCAGATTGTTACCGTAATATGACTTGTTTAGCATAAATGCTCAACTACTTTGCTCCAAAATGCGAATCAGCTTGTGGCCCATTGGCGAAGTTGTTTGACTTTTCATCCTCGTTCTCTATACTGGTCACCCCTTTCAATGTGTCTGAATCCTCCCCTAAACTCTTTTCACCAGTCGTACACGTTTTTCTCGACATTTTGTCAGGTTGCTTTTTCTCGGTTTCTATCTTTGCTTGCTTCCTTAATTTTTTTAAAATAATACAATGCTATTGACTAAAAAACACACTTAGCATCCTTTGATTTAAACATTCTTGAACGTTTTAGGCGCACCAACAGCGGCGCTTTCTTCTGTAAAAAGTCGTTAGTTCAATTTCAAATGATCTCTAGCTGGCAAAAGCTTTGCGCTATTACCTCTTTCAAGGTCGGACTTCTTTGTTCTCCTTTCTGCGCTTTTCCATTCTGCAAGTATTTTCAAAATGAATCTCACAACATTACAGAACTCGTCAAGAAGCTCATTTGCACCAATACCTTCACTGTGTTTTCAGCTTCAATTTGTGTAGGCTCACAATAGATTGACCTCTTTTGGCTCTTGTGGTAACCACTTTTATTTGCCTTCTCACTTACTAATATCGGAGTTTTTCTACCCGTATTGATTTTTGCACTTTGGTCAGACGCTCTATTTGACGGTGTTCTTTTTTTGGGAGAAGAGTGTGATACCTAAAAATTGATTAACAACGTTCCAATGAGTTACCGTCAAAATCTTTTATCACTAAACTAGACTATGCCATATTTAGGCCTAACTTTCGTTTGAAGAAAATCTAGCACTTCGCAAAGTACAGAAGTCAAAAAGGTTTTTTTCAGAAACTTGGGTAGATGCAAAGACTGCTAAGGCTAAAGAGGCAGGGTCTTTGCCTTTATGACTTTGACTGTGCAATGTGCGCTCTAATCCTGAGAGGAAAATTAAGGATGTGGCTTACCGCTAAGATCCAAGTCTCTTACTTTGCGCTCTATCTCATCCCTCAAATCAGAGTCAAAACTACGGATCGTGGATTTTTGGTCAGATACAAAGCAGGCACGTCAAAGGCAGAGTCCGAGCAAGTTATGGGGAGATATAAAGATTTAATATAGAAGTATGGGGCCCATTATGTATGCTACCTTCAAGCTCAAGCATGTGCCATAAGCTATGCAGGAAAAAATCAACATTGCCCTTGAAGGCAGTGGCTCGGCAAAACCGAACATTTCAAAATTTTGAGGAAGATTGCTTGTACCCCAAACATGAGAACAGAGCAGGTCCGAGCGCACGTCGTGCTGCCACTGTTCAGAAAACTGTCCCTTAACCAGTAGCGAAGCTAATCTTACCCGCGCCTGGACAAGCTTGATGTATGTCAAGAAGCGCGATTTTTTTGTTAGATGTACGCGTTAACTAGCGCATTTTTAGTATTTTATGATTTAAAAAAAAATTTCAAATCTTTAACAGAATATGTATGATCGTGATCCATGGGTTGCTCGATGTTGTCGTTTCAAATCAATTGGAAGCTTAGACGTTGGAAGTCAAAAACTGGTGAAAATGCAATTAATGGCTTTTTGGGAATATTTTACTCAAGTTTTGGCCAAAAGCCGTCAAACTTTGCAGTTGAGAGCTTCAGGTACATAGTAAGCTGCAGACTTTGTCTGGTGCTATCAAAAAATTCGCAAAGCCCGAAATGTTGGGACGTTGAATTGGTTACCTCTGGAAAAATCGCGCCTCCCGACAATCTATTCCCCTCTAACCGTCCGAGGAAGCATGCCGCAATGTTATAAACATTAGGGTGCCGCAACGACTCTGCGTCTCCAATCATAGCAAAAGCCGTTCCAGATGTCCAGATTCAAAATAAGGATCTTAAAAAATGTGGTGTTCGCCATTTTTCCGCTCTTCAAGGTGGATTTTCGAATTCTGCGCTTCAATTTACTCCAGATAAGTGAAAAACCCTCGACCTTTCGGGTCGAGGGTTTGCCGGGCGTCTGCCGTCAGGCCTCCACTTTAGTTCAGAGTCCGCTGCAATTTTCTATTAGAGTTAGAGTGCGCACGCCGCAATAAGTTCGTGAACATTCACGACAACCGTGAGCTTTTAGCTTGGTGGTAGCTGCATTTTCTTGCTCCTATTTTTACGTTTAGGACTTTAGAAAAAGCCGTTACAACTTTATTGTTGTCAAAGCGCATTTGAACAGCGCATGTAGCTCAAATAAGCGAAATTTGCAAATAAGATTTTGCTTCGACGTTTGGAAACATTTCCGACTTTTGTATTGCAGTTCTAAGAATTCAAACGATCTCCAGAGAGCTTCGAAAGGTCGCGTTTATAGCAATTCTAAGATGCATCCGACACACTTTAGAAGAATGGACGACGGTTTGCTGAGTAGTGGAACTATCTCAAAACGAAAAATATTTTCTTTGTTTTTTTTACTGTTTTTTTTACACAGACTGTAAAGATTTCACCGGTCGTGATGGTCCCACGCAAAGTAAACACGTGGGTTGCTTGTGTTATATCAATGCAATGGTATTTATAAAGATTTTTTCTGCCATTTTGAGACACGGCTAGGAAAATAAAATTGCTTTCAGACAATCGCCAATTCAGCAAATAGTGCTAATGATTTTTGTTTATACTTTCCGAATTTGATTGATGAAACGGCTACTGACGCAGATAACATTCAATTTTTTCACTCCTTTCAATGAAAGTATGCAAACGCAAACGACGACATAGTAGTGCAAATTCTCCACACTGAGAAGAACTTTTTTAACTTTGACGCATCATCTACAAAATAAATTGCAAGCATCAAAATTCGGCTATTGCGCTCTCAAAATCGCTCGTTTGATTTTTATTACATGGTCATCTTGGGCTCGCAAAACTAATTTTTGAAGAAGATAATTGGTATATTTGGCATAAAATATTAAAACCATCAGATCACGTTAAAATACTGCAAATCAGACTGCATCTTTCAAACAAACCGGATGAAGACGTAAAATTCAGGGACGGGACTGCTTTGGTAGCAGCAGAGCGTGAAAGGAGGCTACACAACACAAAAGCGCGCAGTTTAGCACGCGTAGAATGTCATAAAAACAGCAAAAAGTAGTCACTCGTCATGAGACTAAACTATACGTCAGATAGAGTGCTCATGCGATACAAGCATTCGAATCACTCATGGATTGTCAGTCATTACATGCGATGCTGCAGTCAATTACTCACAGTATGATGCTTTTTTCGCTAACTTTACTGAAGTCAGAAAATGCACAAAAACCTCTTTTATTCCTGCTTTCTCCCTTACGACATTGTTTCCTGCAGCTGTCGGTGCTTGACCATAAATATATACGTGTCGGGTTGACGGTTGAGGTTTATCGCAACATTTTCCACACTCGAAAACTAAATTCAACATTGTCAGAGAGAAACTTGACCGTCTGACATGTAGTTCTCTCTGAAAAAAGCCAGCCTTTCTTTTGTGTTTGCCATGATGTCTATTGTGTCATCTGATACAAGAATTTTGCTGTGATACATAGTGAAGCAAATAAATCTTGTAAAACACTTTTGTATAAGGTTTACAACATCTTTTGAAAAATGGGGATTGACATACAGGTTTACATGTATGTCTCAAAATCACGTTATTATTCATACTATCTCTAACATTCAAGGGTTATCTAACAAATAAATGTCTTTAGTCAAAATGGCCTCCATACAAGTTCAAGCCATCTTAAAAGCACTTAGCTCCTTTAAAGGCCGAGTTATTGTAACTGGAGCGAATTTCGAAGCAAAAAGTACCTACGTGAAATCAATTGGATTCCTTCAGTGTTGAAAGTAGAGCCGTGATGGTCAAGGTTCGGCACAGGTGATACTGCATACTGAATGTTGTCTTGGGGTAGGAGAGCAGTAAGTAAGCAGAAGTATCTTTTTGTAAAGTCCAATCTCCATATTGCAATCCCCACACCTGTCTTTGCAGGGTCCAGACTCCACTTCTAACTATTTGGGTAGATTACCTATACTCCTTCCTCCAGTCTGTAAACAAATCTTTCCCAACCACCGCTGTCAAATAAGTCACACGTAGCAACTCTATTCCCCCCACCGCCACCGCCACCATTCCTTCTTCTTTTCATTGCACCACTTGATCTCTGTGGGCGTCTAACATGGCAACAGTCCCTTCCAGTCTCATTCACTACAAAGCAACAATTCTGTGCTCGCGCTACAATACTCTCGGTAAAAACGGAATCAAATTTATGCTTTTGGGATAAATAGGTTCGTTTACAATGAAAACGCATTTACTCAGATAATCACCGGCAGCAGGCGGTCGCGCTTTTCTGCAAGCGATCATCAAAACTTTGAGGCGTGACCAAATCTTTAGCGAGCAAAACTTCCGTGTTCTGCTAGTGAGCAACAATACAAAATTTTCTGCAAACGCCCGTCAATTAACCTCTTTCAGCGAGCGCGGACCAAACTTTCAACAGGCGCTCGGACTCTTTTTTCGGGCGTACGCCGAACAAAGGTAACACTCTACATAACAGAGGTGTCATCGATGGTTTAATTATCCGAGTTTGGGGTGCTTTTTCTCAGTGAAAATACCTACTCAGATAATCGCAGGGGGTAGGCGGCCGAATTTTGAGCAAGCAGGCACCGGAAAAATAGCCCGCTGATTTCATGCGGTCCGCTTGCAGAAATTTGAAAGAATGTTGGCGAATTTTTAGACGAATGCTCGGAGAAGTATCGTGGTTTTTTTATAGATTAGTTGCGACGCAGTGGTCGCATTCTCGCGGACTTTTCGAGAATATGCAAAAAATATTGAGGGCCCACGGTCCTTTGTGAAGGTCCGCACAGCCTGCAGGTACCTTCAGCTGAAAGAAGGTACCTTAAACTCGCGTAACCAAACCATCGAGACACCCCTGCCATATACAGTCTTACCTCTGCTCGGCTTACTCCCGAAACTGCGTAACAAGAGTCAGAGCGCTCGCTGAAAGAAATTATTTGTAGAGCGCTTGCAGAAAATGCTGTATCATTGCCCGCTGGCAGAATACGCGATGTAAAGGAAGTGCCGCGCACTAAAGTTTTGACCACGCCCCAAAATTCTGCTGACCGCCTGCAGAAAAGCGCGAGTTTGCGGTCAGCCTGCCCCCAGCGGTTGTCTGAGGTGGTCCTTCACAAAGGATAGTGCGGCCCTCAATAATTGTGCACATTCTGCGGAAGGCCCGCGAGAATGCGTCCACTGCCCCGCAAATAATCTGTGAAAAAGGCGCAATTGTTCTCGGAGCATTCATCTAAAATTTCGCCAAAATTCTTCCAAATAATCGCAAGCGGACCACAAGAAATCAGCAAACTATTTTTTCGGTGCCCGCCTGCCTCCTAAATCGCATGGCCGCCTGCCCCCGGCGATTATCTGAGTATATACCAAATTTGGTGTGTATACTCAGAGAATCGCTGGGGGTAGGCGGTCATGCGATTTATAAGTAAGCGCACCAAAAGATAGTTCACTGGTTTCTTGCGGTACGCTTGAAGATATTTGAAGATTTTTGACCATTTTTTGGAGGAACGCTCGGAGATCAATCGCGGCTTCCTCATAGATTAGTTGCGGCGCAGTGGCCGCATTCTCGTTGACTCTGCGAGAATATGCGGAATTGTTGAACGTCACACGGTTCTTTGTGAAGGTCCGCACAGCCCAAGGGTACCTTCCGCTGAAAGAAGGTACACGAAACTCGCTTAACTAGACCATCGATGACTCCTCTGCCATATAGAGTCTTACCTCTGCTCGGCATACTCCCGAAACTGCGTAACAAGAGTCAGAGCGCTCGCTGAATGGCCAGCGCTCGCTGAAAGAAATTATTTGCTGAGCGTTGCAGAAAAAGCTGTATTGCTGCCCGCTGGCAAAAAATGCGACAACAAAGGAAGTATCGCGCACTAAAGTTTTGACCACGCCCCAAAATTCTGCTGACCGCCTGCAGAAAAGCGCGAGTTTGCGGTCAGCCTGCCCCCAGCGACTATTTGAGTATGGGCCGTCAGGAAGGGAAGCCAAAGCAGTTTGAAAAAAAAAACGGAAAAAAGAAAAAATTTGTGTGGATCAAGTAGTGGCAATTTTTTGAAAAGTAGCCATGTGAAATCTTGCAAGCCCTGGAGTGATCTATAGAAAGTGAAGTTTCAACGTTTTCTTTCCCTACATAATTTTCTGTTTTTCAACATGACTTGCATGATCGGTCCAAGATTCGTATAGAGGCGGGTTGCCGACTTCCTTTGATTAAAAGGATGAACTGTTGAACCTGCACGATTGGTTCTCATGCTCTCTTGCTATCAGAAACCGCCACCTTTGAGATGCGATGATTCCGCCTTTATACGAATTGTGGAGCCAATGAAAACATCCCCATTTTATTAGGTAGTCCCGAAAGTTTTGTCGGTTTTTTTACGCTCACTAAAACCCACAGAACACCAATCCATGGACGATCAAGGTAACATTAGATTCAGATTTTTATTCTCTTTCATACAGCTATATTTGCTCTCTGATCTACCCTGTCTTTGCAAGGTTATCGCCATGGCTTTCTGAGCAGCTCAGCAGTAACGCCAGTTTTTTCCTGGATTTTGGCAATTTTTATCTTGATGTTTTCAAAGAGCGTTGGTAGCTGTTACGTGAAGCAGACCTTTGGCTACATTGAACCATTTTAGATTACATGGGCCACGTTTACCAAATCCATTATAATTACATATTCAATAAAAACCACGATGATTAGGTCTACCACGTAAAATTACCGAAAATTCCAAAAAGCTGATTTTTCAAAGCAAATTGAATTTGATTATGTTGTATAAATAATGTTTATTAGCAATCAAGTTTCAACTCGCAGAAATTCTAAAAACTTCCATGTTTTTGCCGCAGTTGGGTGTTTCATGACTTGGCTAAAAATCGAGACCCTCGAAGAAATAATTTTTTAGAAGCTGAAAACCGCAGGATGGGAGAATCTAAAAGTATAATCGTAAAGTCCGAGAAATGTTCTATTTGTGACATACTTTGGAGCCCTTCCAAAACTTTGGAATGAAGTTTTTTAGAATTAGCCTAACTTTGAGCAAATAGAAATGACGGGTGAGGAACAGTGGCAATTACCAAATAACGCATACAAGATTTTGGCATAAAAATGCAATCATGAGAAAGAGAAGGAAAAGCTGCATCGTATGCACTTTGAAACTTGTTTAGATCTTTATTGTGCGTGGTTTATAGCGTTTTGAAAAAAACCGACAAAACTTACGGGACAAGCTAATATAATACTGACCCCCCCCCATCCTGAACAACCGCTATAGCATAAAAACTTCGGTGCTGAGATAACACGGCGGGGACTAGAGGGGGGGGGGAAGGGTGGCAAATACACGACTCGATGCCATATATATCTTTGCGAAAGGTGTACTGTCGGAAGCTAATTCTTGTACTGCTTGGAGTCGCGTCGCGGCATCTTGCGAGAAAATAGTGCAATCGTGACTCCTGACCCGTATCTCATGAGTGCAATTTGTACAATGTTCTCAACGGTGAGCAAAATCCTGCTACAAGCGCGTAAGTGTGCTCAATAACATCAAGCCGTCACTGCAGAAATTGCAAACAACATTATTATTATCATTATGTGTTCAAAGTCTTTTTTGTGTTCTTTCCTGCTCAGTAATATCGAACCCACCTGCAAAAGCGCGGAAAATCGTTTTCAAATTTCAAAGTAATCTCGTGCAGAGTGCTGCTAACACTTTGTTGGATATGGAAAAATGAAAATTTGTTAGCTACTATGAAATCACTCGACAAAGTTATTTAAGCATGAACAGCAGAACTCAAAGCAAAGCATAATAGTAAGAGAGCAGAAAGGAATTAGGAGGCAGAAGTATCAAACAGATCAAGACAGGAGCTTTAGGCCTCGGGCAGAGTTCACGCGATTTGCTCGTCGCGATTCAGTCGCTACAGACAAATGTTACGAGTTCATTGCATGCCAGTCTTCTTGCATTTCGGTTGTGATAGTTTTCCAACACGACTAATCGTGACTAACTATCACAACCGAAATACAAGAAGATCGACATGCAATGAACTCGTCACTTGTCTTGTAGCGACTGAATCGCGACGATCAAATAGCGTGAACTCTGTCCGAGGCCTTACTCTTTAATCTATCATTTGCTTTGCTACAAAAAACCGTAGGGTCCATATCAGCTGAACTACTGCGACCCTGGTATTAACAGAACAGCTTACTATATTTATGAGTTGCGACTACTTCAGACCCACCTATCAAAATGGTAGATAGCAGTATCACAGTGACCAGCAGCATAATCGGTGTGACATTTAAATCGATAATGGACAAAAGTACAACCGACTGCATAGCATGGTAATGCTAAGAATGGTACTATCTTATCAGGTTGATGTTGAACAATCATCATCTATCATCATAACTTATAATAACGGGCTAAGGGTTGTTTGCGTGTTTTTGTGTGTGTGTCTGAATATCTGTCTGTCACGAAATTCATAGCGCGAGTTCCAGCCAACGTCCTGAGCCCAAATTTTGCATAGCGCATCCTACCAGCATAAAAGTCCACCATGCGAAAGCACAAGCGGATTTGTTAGGTGGATCCCTCAGAAACTGCGCGTCAGCCGGGTCCAATTGGCTTTTGGCCCGCATAATCGGATCCGTATCACCATTTTTTGCAAAGTTGTGGATGTGCTTGGCATCTCAATGTGCAAGCCAAGGGCTTTGGTCCAAAAAAAAAGATCAGAAGTCTACTATTTTACAAAAACGACGCCGAAAAAGTATTGATTTCTCGATAGTCGATTTGCCAAGGTTTTACTTAAGCATTTGAGAAGATTTTTGCACAGAGATGTGGCTCAGGGTGTTATTGTCCTTATAGCAACTACCTAGCCAGAAAAAGTTCAAGGACCCATTTTAAATTTGCATTTGTTCTTCTGCGAAAAGTTTTATCCTCTCAAAATTACCGTTCTCACATGGAAAAGCTTTTGGAATGAGTAGTTGTTTATAATTTATTCGTGATATTCGGCATCGTCCGGTGTGTTTCAATGCCATCTTAAGGCATGAGTGAGTAAGGTGTACAGAGTAGGACCACAGCGATCCTCTGCGAATCAGTGTAATTCGTAGCGCAAGCTGCAGCCAAGATTTCAAGCTGATTTTTTGGTTATAGCATGCCAGCAGCACCCAAGTTGATTATGTAAAGAAGTGAGCGAATCTGTTTCGGTAAGACCTCGCGACAGATCCACCAGGCATTTGCTAAGGCAAACGAGATCCTAATGCAAGGAGTCTGCAGTAACTGTAAGACTCAACTTGGACATCTTCTAAGCCCTGGAATTCAGAGCAGATACATAGCAAAAAGTTAATATCGTGCAAAATTGGCGTCAAAAAGAGATGACTCAATTGATTGTTGATTTTCAAAGAACTCACTGTATAGCTGGAAATATTCTAGGCTGGAAATGAGTGTGCATCTGTTGTTACGGATTCAAAATTACACTAACCGTTCACCAAAAAGTATCGCCACGCTAATTTTACCGGTTTCACATGAAAACCTCGCAGAATGAATGGTTGTTTACATCATACTAGCTGGCTTACCCGGCTCCGCCGTATGTTCCAAATAGAAAATTCCATTTCTTAACCGATCCGGACCAAACTTGGCACACATACACTTCGGGCCCCAGCGGGTGTCACAGTCCACTTTTCGTTATCGATCGATGTCGAAAAGTAGCCTATGACACCCGCCGGGGCCCGAAGTGTATGTGTGCTAAGTTTGGTCCCGATCGGTTCAGAAATGGAATTTTCTATTCGGAACATACGTACACACAGACATACATACATACATACATACAGACAGACAGACAAACAGACATTCAGCTTTATATATAAGATTCTTCACGATCAGAATTTTCCGGGGAAGTTCAAAGCAATTTGAGAGACGAGGCAGGGCGCTGTTTAGCTCTGAGGACAAGCATGGACACGCAGACCCGCGCACGACACGATAATCACGGGGTGCATAGAGCCAGTACTGTGGGCGTGCCACACTTTGCCTTTCTTAAGAGAAGATGTGCTCAAAAACTATAGAGTAGGACCAGTGCGAGCCTCTGCGAAGCAGAGGTGACGCACTGGTAACTTATAATAACGGGCTAAGGGTTGTTTACGTTTGTGTGTGTGTGTGTGTGTGTGTGTGTGTGAATTTCTGTCTGTCACGAAATTCGTAGAGCGAGTTCCAGCAAAGGTCTTGAGCTAGAATTTTGGTAGTAGCACCCTATCAGCAGGTAGGTAAAATGTGCAAAAGCACAAGCCGATCCGATAATTGGAACCTGTGAAATTGTGCGCCAAACGGATCCACGCGACATTTCAAGCGCCAAAATGGGCCTGTAATTGGACTTCTTTCAAAGTCATGGTTTCGTTTAGCAAGTAAATCCGCAAACCATGGACCCTAGCCCGAAAAGTGAGCAAAAAGTTTACTTTCGCGCAAGATCGGCGCCAAAAAGGAATAATTGCGTAGATGCGATTTGTCAAGGTTTTTACCTGGGAATGCGGGACAATTTTTGCTCAGAGATGTAATTCACGGTTGCCATCATCTTTATGGCGAGTATCAAGTCATTATAACCCCAATAACTGATTCAAAATCGCATTTAATCTTTTGAAGAATACTTTCTGTCCCTTAAAGTCACCGATCTTACATGAAAAAGCTTTTGGAATGAGTAGTTGTTTACATTTCATTCGTGATGATCGGCATCGCGAGGTAAGTTTCAAAGCCATCATTCTGCGACTACGAGGTTGGTATATGGATAGTACAGCCAGTGCGAGCCTCTGCGAAGCAGAGGTGACGCACTGGTCTATATAAATATGTTAGGTCGTTTCATAAAATCGTAGCGTTTTCATTTTCGTCCTCCCTTCTTTGGGGAGCGGCTAATATGTAGCAAGATGCGTATATCGTTAGAAAGGGCCGATTATGCTCTTCTATGTATCTACTAATTTGAGTAGAAAGCGATATACTCGGATCTGTTGACTTCCAAGTATGGAAATTTTAAGAGGCAAAAAAGAGCATTTTGACATTTGCGCATTTTCCAAAAAGAAATGGTTTTGCATAGTTTTTTTTTGTCGATTTTAGAACATGGCGTTCGTCAATCAATATGAGAAGAAATATGCTTGGGTTGCTAGAAGAGATGAAGGGCTGAGCAGGACGTAATTAGACTTTACAAGGGATGGGCAGGACGTCCTGCACTGGAAATTGCTGGACAAGAAGAAGACGGTCACCCCTACCGTATGCAAGCCAACTGCAACTTTTTAACGAGGTCATACCCAGAGAAAGCCAAAAAGGCAGATTCAGTGAGTTTTTCTGCATGACGAAACATGACCATACACGGCAAACGTCGTCAAAACTGTCCTGCAATACTTCAGTCCAAAGTAATCCTTAAATTTCGCTCTATCAGATTCATTTGTCCTGCTCTTTCGCAAACGCGCCCGGCGCGCTGCCGTTTGGAAAATTGGGATTGAAAAGCAGACAAGAATATGGCAAAAGGTCGTGCGTCGAAGACTACAATAATGACTGATTTTTAATGAGATGATTTTGTTGGTTTATGAAAACGCTAGGAACGCATGGAACGACCTAATATATTAGGTTGTCCCGAAAGTTTTGTCGGTTTTTCCCAGCGCTCACTAAAACGTACAGAACATCGAGATGGGAGATTTAGGTACCATTTGGTTCATACTTTTATCCTCTTTCTTACAGCTATTAGGTTGTAACATAAGTCTTGAAATACTCCTACTTCTTAAGGCGATAAGTCATGCTATTCAAATAATAAATAATACAATAATAATAATAATACAATATATTTGACATTTACAATTATACATACATTTTCTAATACATTTGACTTCTGATTTACTCTGTCTTTGCGATGTTATCGCCATGTCTTTCTGAGCAGCTCAACAGTGACGCCAAATAATTCCTGGACTTTAAAAATCTTTAGTCTGATGGTTTCAAAAGGCGCTGGCGACTATTATGTAGAACAAACCTTCGGCTACATTGTATCTATCTTAGTTTACATGGGCCACGTTTACCAAGCCCGTTATAATTGTTTATTTGATAAAAACCGCGGCTTTTTGATTACATTTACCACGTAAAAGTGCCGAAAATTCCAAAAAGCTGCTTTTTCAAGGCAAATCAAACTTGGTTATGTTGCATAAATAATGTCTAATGAAAATCATGTTTCAGTTCACAGAAATTTCAAAAACTTTGGTGTATTTGCTGCAGTTGCGTGTTTCATAACTTGGCCAAAAATCGCGACCTCTGAAAAAAAAATTTTAAAGCTAAAAACAGCAAACTAGGAAAATATGAAAATATTGACTTAACTAGTCTATTGTAGTCCGAAAATTGCTCTATTTGATCATAGTTAAACTTTCCAGAAACTTTGGAAAGAAATTTCAAAAATTTAGCCTAACTTTGAGCAGATAAAATTGACGGGTGTAGAATCTTGGCGATTATCAAAAAAAGCATGTAAGTTTTTGGCTCGGGAATACAACGGTAAGGAAGAGAAGGAAAATCTGCATCAAATGCATGTTGACACTCATTCAGGTCTTTATTGTGCGTGGATCTATAGCGGTTTGAAAATACCGACAAAACTTTCGGGACAACCTAATATATTTGGTTGATGCATAATTCCATTCCTGCACCAAAGTAGGTACAGACTGCAATAATTCGGAATAATGCCATATCTCAAATAGAATTCGAAATTCCATTAGATAGCGCAAACCTAGACCCACAAGGTAGTGCTCAAATATCTATACCAGCTTTGATCCACTCGAAGTTTTGAGATGAAAACTGAAAAAAAGCCATGCGTCCGAAAACCTCAAAACCAATCAAAACAAAATCGTAACCTCGTTCAAAAAGCTTGTACAAAATTTTCTTTGTTGCTCACGCGTAGAATTTCCACGTAAGACATTTGTCTAGGCGACTGCTGTATTTTTTCTCAGCTAGACGATGAGAAAACGAAGTTTTTCATGTTTTTTCCAGAACAATGCTGAGATGTTCTAGCACTAACAGTTGTATAGTACATGCCATTAGCAGTGCAACTTTGGGGAACGGAACTTAGGAACCCGAGCCTAATTAGCTCGATTCGGGAAGTGCCTGCAGGATACAGTCATGCTCGCTGTCTCCGATGCTCCGTAGGACATGGCGACAATCTAAGCCCCGCCCTAATGAGAGCCTGTTTTGGAACCTGGCCAAAGAATGCTGAAAATCCCAATTGAATTTCAGGTCACTAACTGGCTCTTAGCCAAAAACCTTCAAAATGATCGTACGAAGGTGAAATTAGGTTCAAACGAAAGAGAAAAAACGTGCCGTCATCATAAAA